TATTTTTTGACTGTGGAGTTTTTAAACATTGCAATGGAGATTTCACCTAGGTAAAGCTACAAGGCCTTTACTATTGTCTTATGTGTTGTACGTTTGTGTGCACTCTTGTGTTTTGTGTTGTATGTCTGTATGTGCGTATGTCCATATTTCATATATGAGGAGCACTCATGAAAAAATGGATCCGAATTTTTTTTATTCACGTGATTTAAATGGTTTAATTTAAATTAGGTAAAAAGCTGTTAAGGATTGTTTTTAAAGGTGGTTAACAGATCTGTTTGTTTACTAATTTAAATTAGGTAAACAGCTGTTAAGGATTATTTTTAAAGGAGGTTAACAGATCTGTTTGTTTACTTTCACCTTTCCTTTTCATCATATTTAATAATTCTGTTCAGGATAATGTCTCTTTAGCATCATTGCCAGAATTCCTATCTCCATCCCAGTGGTGGTGAAGACAAAGATAAAACCAAACTACAGCTTCTATGATAGCTATCACAGTAAACTGTATAAACTGATGCATCAATGAATATAACTCAACAAGCAATGCTCAATCAAGGAGTCGATTTACTTTGGGAGGAAATGGACATATTGATAGACTCCTCCGCTTTGAACTGCTTGCAGAACTTGCCTGGACTATGTATCACTTGTATGCATTGTGAACTATCGTTTGGTGCAGCGAATTGTGGTAGTGCTGGCATATCTTTGCTGATGGTGTCACCAGTGATGCAATTTTTCCAAAGGAGCCATCAATTGGCTTGGTGTCGTGGCATTTCTGTATCCTCCTCCCTTCTGCTAGTGATGGTCTAACATTTGGGGGCCAACAGAGGTGAGGCAAAGAACCTCACCCCCCCACTGGTGCATAGGCCTATCCACAAGTATGGCTGTATGCTGGACCGGTAGTCAGTGACGGGTATGATCCAATTGCAGTGGTATCAACCTAAGACAGGAGGCTGACGCCTAGAGGTCAGTTTTTCCCATGACGGGTAAGAACCATATGTTGAATTGGACAACCTACCAGGCACGGTCCTTAAGCCACATTGCTTGTTGTTTAATTAATCAGAAGGGGGGAGATGCTGAGAGCCATTGCCAAGTAGGAATGACGCATGGCAATTTCTTTGTCAGCCTACCCCATGTTGCTTAGAGGAAGGACTCTCCATTGTGGAACCAGATCATTTGCAGTGACTTTGCATGAAAGGTGACCTTGCTCAAGGACCAGGGCGGATCCAAGTTTAGGGTGTATCCTGCTGGGAATAGGGAGTATCCTGCTCCTTGGGTTTAGGGCGGTTCCAGGTTTAAGGTGTACCCTGCTGGGAATAGGGCATATCCTGCTGCCTCAGGCACGCCTGCTCCTTGAGTTCCTGTTGAGTTCTTGCGGGATTCAGAGAGTATTTTGGGTTACAGAGCCCAGTGGAGGTGTGGATTTGCCCAGAACGTGTTTGTAGAGTGCCGGTGTGAGTTCGGGAATAAAGAATTGCTGTTTGAATCTACAAGGCTATGAGTGGCTCGTGATTTTGTGCCCAGCCAGACTGCAGCAAGAGAGAGCTTGGTTCAAGGCCCTGGGTATGAAATTTTAAAATCCTAGCAAAAGAAATTGGTCTAGTATGACTCAAGTCACTACCTCTGCACTCATTATTTGTGCAAAATGCCTTGTAAAAACATGGTAGGTTCACTGGAACACTTATTCTATTGTGTAGAATGAAGTGTTGCCTGATTCTAGAATCAGAAGAATGAAGGTTAATAAGCAAACAACATGGCAGATCTTGGGTTAATTAAACTGTTGGAGGTACAGTCTTCAGGAGAATGCAATGATTAGTCCAGACCTGAAACACAGTAGGTGATCATTAATTGTTGGTCCCTTCTGTCTTCTTGCTTATCATCAGAGACATGTAGTATATGTCCAGGTAGAGGTGTGAAGCCACCAAGGAATTTTAAGTGGAAAATGACATATCAGTTTCTTTCAGAAAGATGGCTCTGTAGCAATACAGAAATTAGACTATATAAGGAAGGTTGGCATTGCTTATCTTTGTAATTTAACCTTTAGTTACAGAATATCCTGGTGGGGTCAAGACTAAAGGGCAATTTATAGTACCCAAGGATACTACATATATTGACTGAAAGCACTTTGTCTTCCCTTTTATTTTTTCAGATGGTTAATAGTGGCTCTGTTTTTACAACGGATATTGCATCATGTTAAATCAAAGCCAAAGCCGAGAATGGATCTAAAAGCGTAAATGGCTGGGTGAAATACTGCAGGCCTATAATCCCAGTAACTTGGGAAGGTGAGGCAGGAGGATCACAAGTTTGAGGACAGCCTTGGCAACTTCAAGAGAACCTGACTCAAAATAAAAATTCAAAAGTGCCTGCCCAGGGGCAGACACTTGTCATCCCAGCAACTTGGGAGGTTGAGGCAGGAAGGTGGCAATTTTGAGACAAGGCTAGGCAACTTAAGTGAGGTCCTAAGCAACCAAGCGAGACCCTGTCTCAAAATTAAAAAAAAAATGTAAAAGGAGTGGAGACATAGCTGAGTAGTAAAGTGCCTCTGGGTTCAATCCCCAGTACCACATATAAATAAATAATAAATAAAATTTAAAAGGACTAGGTGACAGCTCAGTGGCAGAGTGCCCCTGGGTTTAACCTCTGGTACTGCAAATAAAATAATAAAAGTTAAAAATTATCCTTGTTACCCACTAAATTGATGTCACAACTCACTGTCTTAATCACAGTATGAAATAGCACTGGAGTCATGTTCTCTCCCAGAGTCATACTTTCTCTAAACCCTCACTCACTCCTCCCCAAAGGAGATATTTATTTGAACAAGGAGTTGAGGAGGAGGCAGTTGACAAGCTCCACCCAGCAGCTTCTGAGTTCCCCTTTTGGCTCTGCTCATCTGCCCAAACTGGGCATTGGGTTGCTCCCTACTTCTGGGGGAGGGGAATGGTGACACTTTTCTCTCCATTTGACTATCTTCTGCATCTTCTCAATTAGTTCTAAACTTGGGGAGAGGAGATGTTATTTAAGAGCCCTTATTGTATTCTCCCTATTCCTGCCTTCAGACATTACCTCTCAAATAAGCTATACAAACTGCTCCCCACAAGTGTTAACATAAAAATAAATTTTAAAAAGCTGAAAGTAATAAATAAAAAATTAAGATGGCAGGAGAACAGCATAAATATGTAGCCAAAGGTAAAGGGAAGTCAAGTAAGAAGGAAAAGAGGGTGGGGCTAAGAGCCAGGGTACAGAGGTACTGGTAATTATAAGGAAGTGAAAAGTTGTGACTATACTGGGAAAAAGGCAGGCCCTGATGGGCACTGAGAGCCTTAGGCTCCCTCTTCACCCATTACTTCACAGCCCCCGCCCCCCATGAAGTGCCAAAGGATGCTAACGTTGCCCCCACCAAAATGCCAAGGGAGCTGGGTGTGGTGGTGCACGACTATAATCCCAGTGGCTCAAGAGGCTGAGGCTGGAGGACCAGGAGTTCAAAGCCAGCCTCAGCAAAAGCTAGGCGCTAAGCAACTCAATGAGACTCTGTCTCTAAATAAAATACAAAATATGGTTGGGGATGTGGCTCAGTGGTCAAATGCCCCCGAGTTCAATTCTTGCCTCTCCCCCACATACACACACCCAAAAAAAAGAAAAAATGCCAAGGGACGGTTGTTGGTATAACTTTCAGTTTATAGCTAGCAGCTAGCAGCTATGAGCAGCTCAGAGTGCTTGAAGAATCTACACTCTGTTCAAGCCTGATGGAACGCCTGCAGGATGCGATGCTCTGCTCCAGAGAGCTGTTAGTGAAACCACATCCTTAGCATTGTGGTTAGCATTGCTAAGCTGCCAGGCCAGTAAATCAATAGCCAGGAGCTTCAGGCATGGAACTCCTAACTTAGGACACCCCTCCCCTAGGGACAAAGACCCTTCCTGATGATAGCAATATTTACAGCATCCTCCTAGTGCAGTTACATTAGGCATAAGATGATTGGCTTATGGATACTATGGGCACGCCCCACTGGAACCCTATAACAATTGTATGCATTCCAAAAATAAACTGAGCTACTGGACAAGACTTGAGGTTTATCTTCTGCCAGTTCTCTCACCAGCCCCTGGATTCTGCGTCTCTCCCTCCAAGGACTGAGATAGCTGAGCACATCAGTGACTAGGAACGTCAGCAATTGGTTATATCTCAGACATTTCTCATTCCTTCTAGTGTTCTATCTGGAAGCTTTGGCAGTCACTGGGACTGACTGAAGATAAAATAGTAGACTTAAACATTCTGACTGCTGGCCCTGTCCATTTTAAAGTGCCCAGGACTCCAATACCGCAGAGCCTTTAAGCTCCAGGAGGTAGCCAAAGGAGGGTGGAAGTTACTGGAGTCAGGGATTGTGGTTCTGCTCCCATCTCTGCCACCTCATAACTAAGCATCTTGGATGCCGGCATCTTGTTTCAATTTCTTTCCTTAAGTCTTTTAAGCATGCTTGGGTTTAAATTCAGGCTACACCAATGTACTACAGTGCGAATTAGGGAAGGTTTTACTTAACTCCTGGGTCTCAGTTACTTTTGTTAAGTAGTAACAGAGAGCCGGGCTCGGGAGGCAGAGACAGCAGGAACACGAGTTCAAAACCAGCTTCATCAAGGCGAGGCGCTAAGCAACTCAGTGAGACCCTGTCTCTAATAGAACACAAGATAGGACTGGGAATATGGCTCAGTGGTTGCACCCCTGAGTTCAATCCCTGGTACCCGCACGCCCACACGCACCCCTCCCCACCACAAAGGAAATAACAGAGAAAATCCGTGAGCCAAGAAAGTACCCAGTAATTGTTAGGAAAATACTGCCAAGTCCCACCCTCCCCTGGCGCACCGCACAACACCTGGCAGAGACATCCTTAAGTCTCCGCTTGCCGGCCCGCGCCCCCAACCCGGGCCGCCAGGTCGCGGGCAGCCTGTCGCGACAGCGGCGGTGCATTGTGGGGTTTGTAGTGCGGGGCTGGGGTTGGGTGGGTGGGCGCGGCCGGCAGTCGCAGTGGGGCCATCTTCGGCAGGCAGGCGGGCAGGCGGGCTGGCGGGCTAGCTCCGCCTTTGCAGCCCGCACCTGCTCCCCTCGCCTGGCCCGATGGCGCCGCGCCCGCTGGGCCCCTTGGTGCTGGCCTTGGGCGGTGCCGCGGCAGTGCTCGGCTCTGTGCTCTTCATCCTCTGGAAAACCTACTTCGGCAGTGGACGGGAGAGGCGTTGGGACCGGGGCGAGGCCTGGTGGGGCGCGGAGCCAGCCCGTCTACCCCAGTGGGACGAGTGGGACGTGAGTGCTGGGCCGGGTTCTGCTGAGGGGCTGGGCGGGCTGGGGTCTGCACCTTTGCACGTGCGGCCCAGCCGTAAGAGCGCCAGAAGCGCTCTCTGGGGCTTGTCCGCCGCAGCGCGGATGGACACGAGGCGGGCAGTCATGGGGTCCTGGAACCCAGGTACGCGCGAGCAAGTTTGGGTGTGTGTGGCGCCGTCGTGCGACGCTGTGGGACTCGACATCCGGTCGTCAGGGTGCGGCCTGGGAGAGAAGGTGCGGCCCAACCGGGTCCGGCCGGCGCCTGCGCAGTGTGCGCGGCACGCAGCCAAGGGGGATCCTGGGAGAATTCTCAGCCCCTCCGGAGGCAGGCAGCGGGTCGGTCCCGCAACTCTGCAGACCTTAAGGGGCTGGGGCTGGGGTCTGTAGTCTGCGGAAATTGAGGCTCCGCGAGGGAAAGGAATGTGTCCGAGATCGTTCAGAGTAGCGGGGGAATTGAGGACTCCAAAAGCAGCTCTAGCGCCACTCCTTCAGATCACACCTGCCTGTCCCTGGACGGGAAGAGGGCGGGGATGGTGCTTTGGTCTAACCTAGGGTGAGGCAGGACGTTGTCAGCCGCAGCCTGACCTCTGTCCCGCAGCCCGAGGACGAGGAGGAGGAGGAGGAGCCGGCGCTGGAAGAGTTAGAGCAGCGCGAGGTGCTGGTGCTGGGACTGGATGGCTCTGGGAAGAGCACGTTCCTACGTGTGCTGTCAGGGAAGCCACCGCTGGAAGGCCACATCCCCACCTGGGGCTTCAACTCCGTGAGGCTACCTACCAAGGACTTCGAGGTGGACCTGCTAGAGAGTGAGCAGAGACACCCCCCCCACCCCACCCCCGCATTCCATCTCCTCATCATCACTGATGCTGGACCTAAGCCTGAATTGTTTAGAGGGACCGGGAGCCAAGAATGCATGTATAAGCAGGACACTCCCCTGTATGAAATTCTTCCCACCCCACTCCCAGAGGCAGAAGATACAGTTCAAATTCCATATACTGGCATTTCAGATACTTCATGATGGGTCATCTCTAATACGGTCACCTGCCCCTCACTACTAGTGAAGTTCACATATCTTAACACTGAGAAACTAACAGCTAAGGGTTCATATGCCAAGTACTTTATAAGAATTACTTAATAAAATCCTCCCAACAGTTCCCTAAATTATAATCAGTTACTACCTTCATCAAACAAGTTCAGTCATTTAGCCAAGGTCATCCTGCTTTTCAGTGTTCTAATGCAGTGTCTGGCTCTGGCTATTAAACACTGTGCTACATTGCTTGTTTCTGAAGGTCACTTGGTGGTCTCTTTCTTATCTTGTCTTTTGCATGCACTGTTCCCTCAGTCTGAAAAGCCCTTCTTCTCTTGATAAACTGCTATTTGACATCAGACTTTAAATATGATATGAGTTTGAAGCCTTCCCTGATTCTCAGATTAAGAACTCCTTTGCCCTCCCTTTCTGCCGTAGCCTATGCTCTTGACTAAGCCTATGCACCTTGTACACATATTAGTATGTTTCATCTTTATCCACAAGGGCTCATCCCCAAGTTGGTAGCTAGCAGAGCATATAGAGTGAGTGATCAGAGAGGTTCTTGAGGAACCCCTGTCTTAATTTCTAGGCTTCTTGAAATTTTAGGAGAGAATGGCAGAGAGGATTGAGACGGTAGCAATATTTAATCACTTATATCCAGCCTTAGTCTCACTGGGCAGGACTAGGGACTTCCTGATAGCCACAGGACTCAGGTCATAAAGACTGGGTACATTTAAGTACTAGGAATTAGAATCAGACTTTGAATGAGGCCTGAGTGGGCCTCGTTCCTTTGGTTTCAGATACTTGCCTATTGGATTGGTTTAACCGTGTCTCTTCTTCCTGCTTGTAGCAAACATTTACCCAGGATTCTGGTCCTTACACCAAACCTTCTCAGACTCCTTCTCATGTGCCAGGGACACAGCTTAAGTGGGGGCTATGCACTTGAGGCTTATTTGTCAGCAGAGACAATATCACTTTTCCCCCAGTTCTGCCAGAAGGAAAAGGATTTTTCATGCTTTCTGAGGGTCTGATATATAACAGTCCAAGCTCAATGGAGACCTTCAGCCTGGATTCAAACTTAGATCTCCCAATTCTGAAAGGCCTGGGACTTTTCTCTCTCAGTCCCTTCACTGAGACCCCTTATAATGCCTATTCTGAAGCCCAAGAGAGAATGGGCCCTTTGGGCATAATTGGTGACTGAATGAATGAATTCAAAACACTTTGATGACTATTCCCTTTCCCACCTCCAGCGCCCAATTTATTAGACAGTTCTGTCAGCTGTATCCTCTGATACATTCTGTATTGTCCACCTCCCATCTCCTCTGTTGCTTCCTGGTCCAAGCCACTGTCCTCTCTCTTGTCAGTACTACAATAGTTATCAAAGGGAATGACTTTACCATTCATTGCTCTGCTTAAAACTTGGGAGGCATTCTGGTAAGGAAATGGGCTTATTCAAAGCCAGTTTTGAGGAAGGTAGAGAAGAACTTCCTGTCCCAAATCTCCATCTTGGTGGTTGGGGGCTGGTAGGGGAGGCAGCTCAGGGTCTTTTACAAGAAGAGAGAAGGCAGAGTGGGGCAAAGGGTAGGAAATGAACATATGTAGATTGAACTACACTAATTAGGTTTCTCTAGGTTTTTAATCAGAAACATGTCAGTCCTGGGTTCCCTGACACCTGTCAGGCTACAGAGAGGCAGCCTGCACCCTTGACTCAGTATAAGGAAATATGGGATACAGAAAAAGTTGCCAGAATGTTGCCCTTAATTTTCTTTTTTTAAAATTTGTTCCTTTTTATGGTGCTGGGGATCAAACCCAGGGCATTATACATGCTAGGCAAGCACTTGACAAGTGACTACATTTGGTTATAGTGTCCAGTCCGTCCTCCCCATGAAGATATTACAGATTATTTTCCAAGAAAAGATTAGCTCTTAGAGCAGAAAAAATAAAATATCAATAAGAACAAAGCAATCCAGTCTGTACTATAGATTTGAACTAATAGTTTTTTTGTTTGTTTGTTTTTGTTTTTTGGTACTAGAAGTTGAACCTAAGGGTGCCTTACTGTTGAGCTACATTTTATTATTTTGAGACAGGGTCTCACTAAATTTTTGAGGATGGCCCTGAACTTGTGGTTCCCCTGCCTCAGCAGGATTTGTAGTCCCAAGTTGCTGGGACTACAGGTATGTGCATACTGTGTCCAGCATAGTTGTTTCAATTTGATCTAATCAAAGAAAACCAACATGGTTGTAAAAATAGTCCTGTCAGATGTGCACTAAAGAATGCCTGATATCTGGAGTCCTTCTTAGGTAAATCTGGATTGATCACCATCTGGGTAGAAAGTTTAACATTTCCATAACATCTTCAGAATTTAGGTATATTCCATAGGACCGTAAAACCTTGAACACAGTCTATGAGAATTAATATCAATCCATCAATTAAGAACATACAGCCAGGGCTGGGGATGTGGCTCAAATGGTAGTGCGCTCGCCTAGCATGCGTGAGGCACTGGGTTCAATTCTCAGCACCACATAAAAATAAAATAAAGATATTGTGTCCACCTAAAACTAAAAAATATAATATTTGAAAAAAAAAAAAGAACATACAGCCAGGCACAGTGGCACACACCTGTAATCCCAGCAGTTTGGGAGGCTGAGATAAAGCCAGCCTCAACAAAAGCAGGGTGCTAAGCAACTCAGTGAAACCCTGTGTCTAAATAAAATATAAAATAGGGCTGGGCATGTGGCTCAGTGGCCGAGTGCCCTTGAGTTCAATACCCAGTATCAAAAAAAAAAAGAAAGAAAGAAAGAAAAAGAATATATATAACTGGGTGTAGTGGCACATGCCTGTAATCCCTGCAATTTGGGAGGCTGAGAAAGGAGGATTGTGGGTTCAAGGCCAGACTTAACAGCTTAATGAAAACCTGTTTCAAAATAAAAAGGACTAGGGTTATAGCACAGTGGTACCCCTGGCTCAGTCCCCAGTGCCAAAAAAAAAAAAAAAAAACAATAAACCAACAATAACAAAACATTTAGGGCTGGGGATATAGCTCAGTGATAGAGTGTCTGCCTTTTCGTGTATGATGCCCTAAGTTTGATCCCCAGCATCACACACACAAAAAAGGAACCTACCTAAATACACTTACATGTATTTTATAAACTAAGTTATAATGCAAACAATACATTTGAGAAAACTCTTAAAACAGCCAGTCTTATCCTGTATCAAAATCTTCAACCTTAAATTTGTCTCAAGATAGAGGATGAATAAAGCAGGATTGCCCCTTATCAACTATAGAACTACAGTTCATGTTATTTAAAATAACTGCAAGCAGTACATAAGGTATTATTACTTAGCAGGCTTAAGTTAACTTCACAAAACAATTTAGTTACCCCTACAGTATGTTAAGACAACAATCGTGATTTATAGCATAATATCCAGATGCAGATTAGAGAGAGTATCAATAAATCACATCATCATAAAAATAATATTCATTTAACCAGTTATAAACCAAAAAGAGACTTTAGAACAAATAAAATTAGAATGAATCCTGATTCTTATAGGACTTAATTTTATTTTAAGCAATCGAAACCTAACAAAGGGGGCTTGGGATATAGCTCACTTGGTAGAGTGCTTGCCTCACATGCACAAGGGCCTGAATTCAATCCTCAATACCACCAAAAAAAAAAAAAAAAAAAAAACTAACAAAGGGCTGCGGATATTGCTCAGTTGTAGTCTGCTTTCCTACCATACACAAGGCCCAGGTTTGATCACGAAATAAATAATAACAAAAGCAGAAAACAGGAAATTGTCTTGATAAAACAAAATCTTTAAGTCAGTTTTTTCCAAACTTTGTTAAGAGCAGATCAATATAAGAAATCCTAAGTTCCTCTAGAATTTAATCAAGCAAACCGAAATGGTGAAAATATTTTCTGTATTTCTTTTTCAGAATTTCTATATCACATATGCTGATTTGTTACAAAATAGGTTTGCTCTGACCTCTGATACTATCTAATGGCCTGCAAGCCCTCTTCAACTTCACATTGCTTTGGAGAAATAGTCATTTAAATCTAACCATTATTTAGAAAGTTATTGATAAAAGAGACATATATCAAACCTGAAAAAAAATATTCCGAGGTAAAATTCTGACTCAAAAGAACAAAATTCACTCTTATCTTATGTCCTTAGATAATTGAAAATGGAGAAAATAAAACATATTTAAAATAATGTAGCTGGGCACAGTGGTGCACATCTGTAATCCTAGCAACTTGGAAGGCTAAAGCAAGAGAAATACAAGTTATGGTCAGCCTTAACAACTTAGCAAGACCCTGTCTCAAAATAAAAAGGACTGGGGATGTAGCTCAGTGGAAAAGCACCCCTGGGTTTATTCCCTAGTACCATAAATAAATAAATAAAAAATACTAGTAGGGCATGCCTGTAATCCCAGAAACCCAGGAGACTGAGGCAGGAAGCCAGCCTTGGCAATATGTTGAGACCCTGTCTCAAAATAAAAAAGGTCTAGGGATATAGCTCAGTGGTAGAATGCCCCTGGATCCAATTCCCAGTACCACTAAAAAGAAAGAAAGAAAGAAAACACAAGATATTTGAGTGGTGAAAAGCCTAAGATTTCTAGCTCTGAATTAAGGTTTTCTTATAAAAATAAAACCATTTTAAAAACTACATCTTTAAATGGTGTGCAGTGGTGCATGCCTGTATTCCCAGTTTCTCAGGAGGCTGAGGCAGGAGAGTTACAAGTTTGAGGACAGCCTTAGCAATTTAGTGAGACTGTCTCAAAATAAAAAAGGTTAGGAATGTAGCTTATTTGGAGAGCTCCCCTGGGTTCAATCCTAGTACCACAGCTACATTTTAAATCTAAGCAAAGAATAGTTTGGAAAACATTAGTAGCTCATCTATTACAAAGAAGCAGGTAAGCCTTTTCAGTTTTTATCATAGACTGTTGGCATTAGGTCACATAAATAATCATATGTGGTGACCATTAATTCTATGTGGAAAAGCCTTTGTTTATGGGCTTTTATACAAAACAAAGAATGTTTTTATAAAGCACTGAACATTTACAAATGTCTTTCCTAATATATTTATCTAATTTACTCATTTTAACAGCTATTTTGAGATTACCCATGGACATAGGAAGCATTGAACGTTATATCTTTAATCTTCTTAATATCCAAGTCAGTTTAGTAGGCCAGAAAAAAATGTGTCACCAAATTGTAAAAATATCCTTATTATCAACATTCAAATTAACCTTTTTGTCATAGATTTACTAAAGTCATGTGAATCAAAAGGCATTTGGATGACAGATTTCAAATTATGTGCTTACTTATCTATAAATCAACTTGTTGCCAGGCAAACAAACAATAGATAAGCATATAAACATAGGTACACACAAAATTTCAAAGCTTAGATTTATTTGCTAGATATATCAGACTATTAAGGCTATGATATAACCTTAAGCAGTCTATAAATCTTAAATTTGCATTGTCATTTGAGGTCAGGTAGAAATTTTACATCTCAAAGTTTCAGACCAACAAACCTTAAATAACCAGTTTCTTATTAGAGAAAATCAAATTTTTTTTTTTTTTAATATTCATTCTTCAGTTATCGGCGGACACAACATCTTTGTTTGTATGTGGTGCTGAGGATCGAACCTGGGCCACACGCATGCCAGACGAGCGTGCCACCGCTTGAGCCACATCCCCAGCCCTCAAATTTTTTAAAAATGTTTATTTTTTAGTTGTAGTTGGGCACAATATCTTAATTAATTAATTAATTTTTATGTGGTGCTAAGGATTGAACCCAGGGCCTCACACGAACTAGGCGAGCACTTTACCCCTGAGCCATAGACACAGCCCCCAAAAGACATAATTTAAATACACAAAATCAAAAAAAGAATTACCAGAGGGGAAAAACATGAGTTCAAAATAAAGTCCATTGTGGATAAGTTTTATCCATCTTGTTGATAGAGGCTCCTAAAGGCTGATGACTAAAGCAAGAGTTATGCTTGGGAAAATGGAATTCCCTATCTTATGCAGATAAATCTATTGCAATAGCCACCAGAGTTTAGCCTCTTAAGCCAACTTTCAATTTAACAAGCATTAAATCAGCATGCACTTTCAGATATATAGGCCATGCTATTATCTTTTTTTCCAAACCAAAACCAAACCCAGAGGAGCTCTCCAAACAAACCAACAGAATTACTGGAATTTTTACCTATGAATTTTACCTCATCCATCTGTACTCTGAAATCAAGTTCCAGATGGTAGAGAGAATTTACCTGATACCATCCTGTATTGCAAAATTAGCCACTCAAGACCCAAAGCTTCAAATGACTGAGATAAAATTCTCAATGTGCACCATGATGTGATACCCAGCCAGCAGGACTCAGTTCCCAAATAGACTTTTTCCCTCACCAACAAATCATTTTTAGGTAGCTGATGATACAGCAGAAAGATGCGGGGTGGAGGAGGGGTATTCCCCCAAATTTCACCTGTAGGTTCAACTAGCCATGAGCAGAGAAGCCCCCTTCTCCTTGGAGATGGCTGGGGGTTTGAACCATGCTGCTCAAGGGCAGGATCCTTTCCCCAGTACGGCTTGCCAAAAGTATGGCCTGAGGGAATGGTATTACAGCTCCTTGCTCCACTAGAAACTCAGGAGGCACACTGGCGAGGAAATAGGTTTATTCCAAGCCAGCTTTGAAGAGGATAGAGGAAAACTTCATGTCTCAAATTCCCATCCGGGGGTGCCTTAGGGGGGTGCAGAAAGTTTTTGTAAGAGAAGGCAGAGTGGGACAAAAGAGCTAGGCTGTGTTAATCAGAAACATGTCAGTCTTGGGTTCCCTGGACCCATCAGGCCAGGGGAGGCTGGCCTTCAGCCTCTATTCTTAATATAAGGACATATGGGATGCAGAGAAACAGTTATCAGGAAGTTGCCCTTAATTTCCAAAAGGTGGCTTTTTATCCTCATTACTCTTCCTGCTTCCATTTATGTCCTCAGTGTCAGAGGTGTCTTTCAGAAATCCATGTCAGATGTCAGTCTTGTTTAAATTGCCTAAGGGACTCCCTGTGGCCTTAATGGCCCTGTGCAGCCCACCACTGACCAACCTCACCTGTCATGCTGTCTTCGTCTCTCCCTCTGGTGGTGCCTCAGCCACAACATACTCAAGCATGTCAAGCTTCCCTCTGCCTGTGATGCTTTTCTCTGCCTTTTCTTTTGACTAGCTCCTTATTTTCCCAGACTCAGTTCACGTGCCACTTCCTTCACAGACCACCTAATTCAAGGCCATCCCTGCCCCCAACCACTTTCCCTTGTTCTGTTTTATCTCCTCCCTTTTTGTATTATCACCTGGTCCATCCTGGTTAGAGAGGGAGCTCCTTGAGAGCAGGGCCCCTGCCTGCTTGGGTTACCTCTGTATCCCCAGCACCCAGATCAGTGCTTGGCACCTAGTAAGCACTCAGTAAATACTTGATGAGTGCCTGCTATGTGCCAGGCATTGTGCTGAGGCTTTGGGGGGATCCAGAGGTAAGTACCTCTCAGAAGAGCTTAGAGTACAAGTATCAAAACCAGAAATACTGGGATGCAGGTGACCATGGGTACAGAGCAGAGAGGCAGAGAGGATCAGGAAGGTGGAGACACTATGTGGACAACCATGTGTTGGTAGGATAGAATATGGTATTTCCAAGAGAAGAGAACAAGATGACATGAGAACAGGGAGAAACTGACTAGGAATGGCTGTGAATAGGCAGGGCAGAAATCCTGTCTTTTCTAGGCATTGGGACTCCTGGCTTCTCATCACAGCCATCACTCACCTGGGAGAAAGCTAGGAAATGGTAATTGCAGAGCACCTATGTGCCACTCTTATGAAGGGTGCATTGCATATGGTACTTTTGGGTTTTAGTGCAACTCTGATAACTTCAGTGAGGAAGGTACTGATGCTCAAAAATAGCTACATCCCCTAAGAGACCTGGCTGTTGGAGCTAGAGCCAAACTCAGGTCTGATTAGTTTTGAACTCTGTGGTCCTTTCACTGCCCCTGGATGGTAGAGCCTTGGGAAGCTGGAATTGGGGTGGGGTTGCTGTGGGCAGAGAACCAGGCCCCAGGAAGGCTCTGATCTGGCCCCTGGCCTCTTCTCAGTCGGTGGCAGCCAGAACCTACGCTTCTACTGGAAGGAGTTTGTGAATGAGGTGGATGTGCTGGTCTTCATGGTGGACTCAGCTGACCGGCTGCGGTTGCCCTGGGCCCGGCAAGAACTTCATAAACTGCTGGACAAAGACCCTGACCTGCCTGTCGTTGTGGTTGCCAATAAGCAGGTAAGGGCCATGGGAGGCTGGCTAAAGCCAGTTGAACTTCTCACACATGCCTGGGAAGGGCAGGGAGCACTATAGAAGGATTTGGGTCTGTGCTTGGAGGACTTAGCTGAGATACTGTCCCCTGAGTCTTCTACCTATGCTCTTTCCTCATCCCTACCTCTGTCTTCACTCCTCTTTGCCTCCCTATCCTCTGTCACCCTGGAGACATAAGAAAAATAATTACTAAGTACCCACTATGTACCAGGTATGGTTTTGAGTGACATTTCTTATTGGGCTTCTGTTGACCCTACAAGGTGTGGGATAGTCTCAGAGAGGTTTTTTATCCCCCAAAGTTTGTATTAGTGGAATTGGGGTAAGAGTAGTAGAATTGGGATGTCTGATCCAAAATCTGTACGTTTACCTGGGTATGATGGTGCATACCTGAAATCTGAGCAATTCAGGAGGCTGAGGCAAGAACACTGCAAGTTCAAGGCCAGCCTGAGCAACTTAGGGAGACCCTGTCTCAAAATTAAAAAATAAAATGTCTGGGATGTAGATCAGTAGTAGAGCACCCTGGGTTTCAGCCCCAATACTAGGAGGAAAAAAAAAAAAAAAAACTTTTACCTTTTTCACTCTGTTCTGCCCTTTCAACTTCTGGTTATAAACCAGAGAGCTAAAGTGACAAGAAATAGAATGGATTAAATAATAATAACAACATTTATTATGTGCTCATAGTGTTCCAGGCATCTAACAACCATGATCTCACTTCATTACTGTAAAAATTCATGATGGGCTGGGCACAGAGGCGCACGCCTATAATCCTAGCTGCTCGGGAGGCTGAAGCCAGGAGGATTGCAAGTTCAAAGCCAACCTCAGCAAAAGCCAGGTGCTAAGCAACTCAGTGAGACCATGTCTCTAAATACAATACAAAATATGGCTGGAGATGTGGCTCAGTGATCAAGTGTCCCTGAGTTTAATCCCCAGTACCAACAACAACAACAAAAAAAAAACAACCCATGATGGGCCCTGCTGTCATCCCTCAATGCCTGAAGTTCCAACTTTAGCAAAGCCAAGACTCAAACTCAGGTCTTCCTCAATGCTTTTAACCATAACAGAGGGCTACCTTGGGTCCACCAAACTTCAACATCACAGACCTTCGGTGCAATCCTTGATACCTGGAAGCTCTGCAGTCCAGAACCCTGTCATACTTCCTATGGCCTGTGCCTGGGTGTCTCAGAAATGTGGGATATGTTTTTTTGTTTGGATTTTGGTGGTAATAGTGATGGAACCCAGGGCTCCAAGCATGCTACAAGCACTCTACCATTGAGCTATATCCCCTGTCCTGTGGAATATGATTCTAACTGAACTGGAGAGAAGCTCTATGTCTTTGACCTTAGATTCCCCCTACCTATTGACAACTATTTATAAATACAGTGACCATGACTGGACATGTAGCTCAATGGCAGAGCACTTGCGTGGCATGCACAAGACCCTAGGTTCAATCCCCAGTACTGCAAATGAATAAATAAATAATAGTGGTGACCAAATGGCCGGGTCTGCATCAGGCATTCCCCATCTATGTCTGTTACTCTGGTGTGACTATTAATAGTTCCTAGCCTCTGAAGTACCCTGGCTTAGACAATGAATTATATCTTCATCTTATTTATAACTAACAGCAATTTTACACCTATGGGAGTCAATGATTAATTTATAGTAATTTTGTGTTTTTTTTTTAAACTTTTTTTAGTTGTAGTTGGACACAGTACCCCAGCCCCTATAGTAGGTTTTTGTTTGTTTGTTTGTTTGGGTTTTTTTTTTTAGTTTTCAGCGGACACAACAACTTTGTTTGTATGTGGTGCTGAGGATCAAACCCAGGCCGCACACATGCTAGGCGAGCGCGCTACCGCTTGAGCCACATCCCCAGCCCTATAGTAGGTTTTTTAATATAATGTTTGGTTACTTTATATAGCAGCTTTAAACCTACAGGAGTTAAAACCAAAGGTCCCAGCATTCTATGAATTAGTACAAGAGAATCCTTTTAATCTTGGGCCATGATTGAAATTAAAATATATCATCAGCAGCCATGCTGTGAGTACGTTCTTTCTTTCTTTCAGCTAATTTTTAGGGTATTGTCTGGAAGTAACCCTCTATATGAACTCTACCATTCAGTGTAGGAAACTGAGCCAGGATTTCTATAAGGGTCAAAACTTGGTCATCAAACCAACCTGAGTTTGGAACCTGTCTCTGCAATTTATTACTGTTACTTGGGCTAAAAGACTTCACCTCCCTGTACCAATTTCCTCATCAGTTACGTGCACACTGCAGGAATTAGTCTAGGTGTATAAGCACCTGTCATGATGGCTGATACATAGGAAGTGTTCTGTTTGTTTGTTTTTAATTTTTATTTATTTTATTCACTTTAGTTGTTGATGGACCTTTAATTGTTATTTTTATGTGGTGCTGAGAATTGAACCTAGTGCCTCAACATTCGAGGCAAGCGCTCTACCACTGAGCCACAACCCCAGCCCGAAGTGTTCTGTTTCTTACTGTAGTTGCTGATAGTGCAATGAAAAGTAAGTCAGGTGGTACAAAAGTATGTCAGGGATGAGGGAGAGAGTTTTTGTTTTATTTTGGTACTAGAGATTAAACCCATGGCATTTTGCCACTAAGCTACAGCCACATCCCTGTTTTTTGTTTGTTTGTTCATTTCTTTTGTTTTACAGTACTGGGGATTAAACCCAGAGCCTCGCTATGCTAGGCAAGTACCCTACCACTGAGATAAACATCCCCAGCCCATCCCCAGTCTTTTATTTTGACACATGGCCTAAGTCCTGAGCTGGCCTTGAATATGTCAGCCTCCCGAATTGCTAGGATCACAGGTGCACCACTACGCCCATCGAGAACTCTGAGTTTATTACAAGGTACCCAGAGATGGCTCCTGGAAACTTGGGCCCTGATGTTCCCGGAAGTAGCCAAAGAGTAGTTGATTTCATGGATGACAGGATAACAAGAGTGGCAGTGTTGGGAACCACTGTCAGCTGTGTCCTAACTGGTTTCTGTGTCTACCCTAGGACCTGAGCGAGGCCATGAGTATGGTGGAGCTGCAGCAGGAGCTGGGCTTGCAGGCCGTCGACAGCCAACGGGAAGTTTTCCTCTTGGCAGCCAGCATTGCCCCTGCTGGACCTGGCTTTGAAAATCCTGGCACCGTGCATATTTGGAAACTGCTCTTGGAGCTTCTCTCCTAGGCTGGAGCCACCTGCTCATTGCCCAGCCAGGGACCACAGTTCCCTGCCTCCTGCTTCTTCATCACCAGCCTGGGCCTGGGGCAGGACCCACACGACACTTCCCTTCTCCCCTCCTTGCCCTCTCAAGAGCAAGGTCAAGTCCTGTGCATACACCTTCCTGGTGAGGTAGCCATGAGGCTGAAACAGAGAGGTGGGAGAGGGTAGTTTCTTGCTTATTCTAGGCTGGAGTGTGGATCCAGCGTTCCTTTCTGTTACCTGCACAGTGAGATGCTTACTGGGCTCAGTCCTCCCCTCCTTGAAGGTCTCAGTGGTTGAAAGAACCAGTGCAGGTGTCACAAATACTCCCTGGCACCTCCAGGTCTCCCAGTCTAGACTGTCCCTCCTGGTGACCATGCCCTTCACATCCGAGCAGGTTCTGTGTGGTTTGGAGTGAGCCCTTGCTTCCAGCTCTGCATTTGTCCTTCAGGCCCTGCTCTGCCAGCCAAGCTCAATGGCACATACCTGTAATCCTAGTGACTCAGGAGACTGAGGCAGGAGGATTGCAAGTTCATGGCCAGCCTGGGCAACTTAGCAAGCCCCTGCTCTTGTGTAGTCTCTGCCTCTCTGGTCCCTAGGCCATCATTTCAAAGGGAGGTGATTGCCATGTTTTGTTCTAACTGCCAACCATGGAGATGTGAAGTACTAGGATGAACCTGGAGACCCTAGCAAGGACCTTCTCAACACCTCCCTGCTTTTAAGGCCTGGATTGCCAGCTTCTCTTGACCGCAGAATAAGTACAGTTCACCAGACAGAAAGGGTTAAGGCTGGGTTTCCCCCTGATCTGGAGACAAGCTGCTGCTCTTGTACTAACTGTGCCAATGCTCATGTTTACATAAGCCTGAGTCCCTGGGAATGAGACTGTTGACTGGAGTTAGGAGTCAGCATCAGAACTGTGTTTTATTTATTTATTTATGTATTTATCAAAGGAACAGGCCAAAGTTCTAGGTTCTGTTTCTAGGTGCTGTAATCACAACCCCAGGTGATTGTCATAGAAAATTTGGAACATTGAGGAAAATGGAATCATGATGATATTGAAATAACCTACAGATGACAATGGAGACAAAGCTGTAGCCACACCTCCTCCTGCCTTTGAGATTGTAATTGATATCATATTTTACATTGATTCACATGAACTTAAACTCATCCCTTTGGCTCAGTATGTTGAAGGAACACAAACCCCTTCTGGATAGATAAAAATGACTCTGGGAGAGGAAATTTCTGTAAATCCAGGTAAAAAGATGAAAAAAAAAAAAATTCATCATGTGAATCTATAGGACAGGAATAGCAGACCAGCCAACAAGGTGGCCTTGGGCATATCACTCAGCCTTCCTGGACCATTTACTCCCCAACAAAAGCAAAGTTGGACTGAAATTCTGGAATTATCTCCAGTGCACATTCCATGATTCTATGAATAGTGATCAGCCAATTTAAGGACTGTCTCCACATCAACAGTTCTTGTTTGTACAGGCAAAAGAAGGAGCCTGTTGTCTGTCAGGGGCCACTGAATAATCAACAACTGCAAACGGACTTATTTTTTTAAGGTGATATCCCACTCAATTTGCTTTCTAATTGAGAACAGAAGTGTGTGCCTTTGTTTCATTTGACGTGTACCAGCATGCTTCAGTACCATAATGTGGTCAGGAAGGGCACTGTGGAGGGGCAGTGTGTGGGAAGCTTTTAAGTCCAGAAATAAGTGTGATCTGTGGGAATGTGGCCCACTGTGCCCTTGGACTGTGGAACTAACAGAATGGAATCACTGTTCTTTGATATGCCAATTCATCTTCCATGGCAAGAAGGGATGTTTCTGCTTTTGTATTAAATATTTAAGGAATGACTTGGGTTTTAGAGTAGCCTTTGAAATTTTGCTAGCAGTTTTTCATCTTGTCATTGGAAGAGTGAGAAACTGTGTCTTTGTTCTATAAAATTCACCTTGTTCTCCAGGGCTTAAAGGTTGCCTTCGGAACCAGCATTGACTGTTGAGAGGGATACTTTTTTTCCTAATTAAGATCTGCCTTTGTCTAATGAATATCATTATGTAGTACAATTTTTAAAGTCCTCAATAAGGGGAGATGAACTTGAAGAATAAACAATTCTACTATATATATCTACTTGAGCTGCTTTTATAAAGACCACTCTCAGAACCTCAGGTGTCAGTGGCACATTGAGGAGCTAGAGTAGCATCACCACCCCATCCTTATACAGCATATAGGAATTCCAGTGGCCTCTGGGTGCTAGTACACTCACATGGTGGGGGCTGCTAGCACATTCTTTTCCCTCCCTGCCTGGCCTTGTGGAGATTTTGTTGTTGTGTTTGGGTTTTTTTTTTTTTTTTTTTGGGGGGGGGTTGGTAGTAGGGATTGAACCGAGAGGTGCTTTACCACTAACCTATAACCCAGTCCTTTTTGTTTTTGAGACAAGATGCTGAGTCTGGTCTCAAATGTGCAATCCTTTTGCCTCAGCCTCCTGAATCACTGGGATTTTTAGGTATGTGCCACCATGCAGGACTCCTGTGGTGCTTTTACCTAGTTGCTGGGGATTGAACCCAAGGGCACTCTACCACTGAGCTACATCCCTAGCCCTTTTTTATTTTTTGTTTTGAGACAGGGTCTCTCTAAATTGCCCAGGCTGGTCTCGAAATCCTCCTGCCTCAGCTCCCACGTTGATGTAATTACAGTGTACACCACCACACCTGGCACTCAGCTACTTCTGAATAGTACTTTCTGGGACCAGGAGCTGAGAACATCTGGCTCTTGCAAATCAGCCAGTTACCTACAGCTTCTCATCTCAAAGTATGTTCCCCAGTCTAGCCTGGGTGACACTCTATTCCTCCCAGTGCCCCAGCCCCACAGTTGCCAATTTAGATGAGCTTAGAAACACCAAATTAAATGTCTGGGATGCACTCACATTCTAACAAGGTCAGCCAGAGGGAAGACACAAACCAGAATGAAGAGATGCCTCTGGGATCTGCTCACCTGTTGCACCTGTGCCAGGATCATTCACCTGGCCTTAGCAGCCTGGGTTGTTTTGGGAGGTGTTAGGGATCAAACCTAGGGCTTCATACATGCTAGGTGGGGCCTTTGTTCTTAAGCTATTTAAACAGAACTATGGCCTCTTGGTTTTCCATTTTGTGACCTGTGGCCATACTTTCTAGAGAGGCCACGTTGGCCCATATCATGGACATTTGTATGGTCAGGATGAGAGGGTTCTTGAGGTTCCTGGGACTAGCTTCCCATCCCAAGAGGCTATGTCCAGAAACTCTTGGTGCCTGGAACTGCAGGTTTTAAGATTGTGCTGATAACTTGATACCTGGCTGTGAGGACAGGAAGGAAAAGTCAGTCCATCACAGCCTCATGGTCTTCTGTGGGGAGGGTGCTGATGGAAATCTGATACTTGTCTCCCAGCCTGAATGAAACGTATTCTCCAAAAAATATTTCCACTTACCTTTAAAAAAACAATTCAACATCTGCCTTGGCCCACCCTGTGGATTCCCAGGCAGGATCCCTGCCCTCAAGCTTATCTAGCAAGGGATGCCAAGTAAAGAAAAATGATTGCTGGGCTTAGTGGCACATGCTTGTAATCCCATCAATTTGGGAGCCTGAGGCAGTTGGATCACAAGTTAAAGGTAAGCCTTGGCAACTTAGTGAGACCCCTCTCAAAAAAATTAAAGGACTGGGGATATAGCTCAATGGTAAAGGACCCCTGGGTTCAATCCCCAGTACCAAAACAAAAAAGAAAAATAGGTAGATATGGGGCTCAGGTCTTTGGCCCTGGTTTTGATCCCTAGCACAAAAAAATAAACATGTATTGTTATAGGAAGTCTGGGGGTGGCAACTACAGGGTACACCCAGCCTAGGGGCAAGGGCTAGTGGTAGGGAAGGCTTCCTAAAGTTGGCACCTGAACTGGATAAAAAAACAGGGCAAGGGGATAGCCTGGTCAAATGCTAGAATTTGGAATTCTGTAGACAGGAAGTTATGAAGCCAAATAGGCCCTCAGGAGCTCTGCTAGACAAGATCCTAAAAACCGCTCTCAATGCTCATAATGGCCAGTCACTGATGAAATCTAAGGCTGAGTCCAAAAGAGGGTGTTCTGGGACTCTTCCAGCCCACCTTGATAGTGTGGGATGGGTGGGCTGCAGAAAGCCTAGGAGATTTGACTTCAAGCCCCACTTTAACATCTCTCCAGCCTGTTTCCTTTATATGTAAGATGAAGATAAAAGCTCGCACCTCACAGGGTTTCTCAAAAGCAATGAAATGTAAACACACCAAGCCTTTTTTCTCTTTTTTTTTTTAGTCCTGGGGATTAAACCCAGGGGTACTCTACCCCTGAGCTATATCCCTCCCACCCCCTTTTAAAATTTTGAGACAGCATCTTGCTAAGTTGCTGAAGATGGCCTTGAACCTCAGATCTTTCTGCATCAGCCTCCAGAATTGCTGATTCTGTGTACCACAGCACCCAAGTCAAGCCCCTACTTTGAAGAACAGTGAAGACACATTATAGGTGCTTCTAGGAGAAACCCTAACAATAAGGCCTAAGTTGCGGATGAAGTATTAGGACTTAAGGAAATACCCACCCCATGCCCTGCCTCACATGTCACTGCATTCAGGTAGGCCTGGCTCAAGGATGACCACAAAATGTACAGCCCAATGCACTGCTCACAACAGAGTGGTATACAGCAAGCAGTCCACCATAGTCCCAGAGGCAGGTTTGGGGCCTGGGGTTCACTTCAGGCCAAAGTCAACAAGCAGTTTAAAGTAGAAAGGTAGATCACTTGGCGGGCAGACTAGGAGTTGGCTCCTTAACCTCTGGCAGAGAAGCCATAGCTGGCTCAGGGTTGGGATTAGAATACCAAGGCAGGCTCCCTTCCAAGCAGTGAGCTTCTATGGGAGGGTAAACTGAACTGCTGCACAGGAGACAAAGGCAGAGAGCAATCAAGAAAAGGAAGGAGAGGCTGGGGATATAGCTGTTTGGTAGAGTGCTTGCCTTGAAGCAGAAGTCCCTGGGTTTGATCCCCAGCACCCCCCACCCCCAAAAAAGGAAGGAGACTACCTACAAGGCATGTGCATGTGGCATATGCTTGTTGGGCAAGATGATCTCTGCGCTATTACAGTTGGTTTTCTCTGAGGCAGCCCCAGGACTTGGGATTGGGAAATATAAAACTAGCAACAAAGTAAAATATCTTATTTTATTATGTACAGACATATTCAAATAAAGCACCCACTCTGAAAACAAGTTCTGGCATTTCTGAGAGCTCCCAAAGGAATATAAATTGGAGTCTCAGAGACAGTTCCTTTCCCAGAGGAGGAGGAATGTAACCTGACTCCACAGGATTAGCCAATCTCATCTAAAGCCACACTCTCTCTGCCTTAAACCCTGGCTCCAGCTTCACTGGTCCTGGAAAAGCCTCAGCCTGAAACAGGTATAAACCAGTCACTCAACCTCCATTTTATTCTTCTGCAAAGAATCGATGAAAGTTTGCCACTCTGCTGGGTAAAAACGTTTATAGACGTTGATCTTATTCCGAATTTGTTTGGGGGTATCTTGATAGTAATTCTTCTCATCCCGAGCCATGGCCTAAAGAAGAGAGGAGGGCTACTTGAAGAAAGCTAGACAGGCAAAGTTTTCAATCATAGTGATACCGCTGGTTATCAATGATGAATTCTGCTCCCTCACATGTTTTAAGTTTGAACATTAGAGAAGCACACCGAGGCACGCATATAAAGCAGTGTTTATTTAAAAGAGGGTAACAGACTTCTCTCAGGAGAAGGGGGCCATAGCTGGTATCCTAGTATGCCAAGAAGCAAGTATTTTGCCTTTATCCCTCTCCTTCCTGCTTACGTGATTAGGCCCAGGAATACTTGGTGTGATGGCCAAAAGGTGGGAAAAAGGTGGGCTGAAGGGGGAAAGGCAGGATGGAGCAGCCTAGGACACACAGCTCCCAGTAGGAAGGGGCAATTCCTGGGATAGGTTACCTTAGCAACAGGTTGGAGCAGGGGCAGGTTCTTGATAAGGGTGGAGGAAAGGCTCTGAAGGAATTAAGATTTCAGTCCCTCAGGGGACAGTCTCTAACTTCCCATAAAATTGACTTCAATTGATCAAAACTGACTTCCTTGATCAACGTGACTTGATTTACCTATCTACACTGACTGCTTGTCTAATTCTGGCTTCAATAGCTCTGCCTGAATTGAGCAAGCCATTTCCTACCTTGAGGTCCAGATGCCTCACCTCAAAAGCCATGGTATATGTGGAACTCTTCTGTACTATGGAGCTAGGGAAATGAGTACAAATGTCTTTAAAGACCAGGCAGAAAGAAGAGTTCAGTGGGCCAAATAGGAACTATAGCCAGCTAAATAGTTCATTTCCCATAGACAGCCAGCTAATCCCACCTGGGCGCAGAGGTCCAGTATAGCCAGCTCTTTCAATTAAAAAAAAAAAAAAAAGAATCAAAAATATATATCGGGCTGGGGATGTGGCTCAAGAGGTAACGCGCTCGCCTGGCATGCGCGGGGCGCTGGGTTCGATCCCCAGCACCACATAAAAATAAAGATGTCGTGTCCACCGAAAACTGAAAAAATAAATATTAAAAAATTCTCTCTCTTCCAAGAAAAACACACACACACACATATAGTTTTATCCCTCCCATACCTAAAATGGCAACTAGTTTAAGTTGTTCAGTTCTTTAAAAACAACATCGAGGGCTGGGGATGTGGCTCAAGCAGTAGCGCGCTCGCCTGGCATGCGTGCGGCCTGGGTTCGATCCTCAGCACCACATACAAACAAAGATGTTGTGTCCTCCAAAAACTAAATAAAATTTAAAAATAAATAAATAAATAAAAATAAAAACAACATCGAAGCTGGGCATGGTGGCGCACACCTGTAATCCCAGGGGCTAGGAAGACTGAGACAGGAGAATCGGGAGTTCAAGGCCAGCCTCAGCAATGGTGAAGCACTAAGCAACTCAGAGAGACTCTGTCTCTAAATAAAATACAAAATAGGGCTGGGATGTGGCTCAGTGGTTGAGTGCCCCTGAGTTCACTCCCCAGTACAAAAAAAAAAAAAAAAGCCAGGCAGTCTCACATGCCTATAATCCCGAGGCTCAGGAGGCTGAGGCAGGAGGAACCCAAGTTCAAAGCCAGCCTTAGCAACTTAGTGAGACCCTATCTCTAAATAAAAAAATTAAAAAGGCCTGAGGATGTGGCTCAGTGGTTAAGTGCCCTTGGTTCATTCCCCAGTACCAAAACAAACAAAACACCATGGAAGCAAAACAACATGTTTGTGAATGGGATATGAACCACAAGCAACTGTCTATCTCTACTGTTAGCATTCTGTTCATTTGGGATCCCTTTCCTAGAGCCTCTTTCCTCCCTTTCCTTGTACTCAGTCTCAGGAAACAGGCAGTAGGCAAGCAGAAAAGGCCCTGAAGAGTCCAGTATGCCTTCCCAAGCAGTTCAAGTAGTTCTTCCTGTAAATCCTGAGCCACTCACCTTATAGTCCTCTCCATGGTTCTCCACCATGTAGCGGACATAGTCAATGAGGTCCCGAGACAGGGTGTTTCCTTTCTTTTCTGGGAGGCTGGCTTCTGCTTCTAGATCTGGGGTAAGAGAAGCCAGGAGACAGAATGAGGCTTTGCCTTCTACATTGTTAGAGCTACCCTCAATACCCCCTTACCCAATCCCAGGCCACAAGTATTTCTTTACCAACCCATTCCCAAATTCACTGCTGCAATCTTCTTTAGCCCTAGGATCCCAGACTCTGCCTATGACACAAATATCTGTCAGTATGGCAACTACCTGAAAAGCAAATCACTTCTCTCTAGGACTTAGATGGATTTAAAAGGCACCAAACTACCTGTTTAGTACCAGGTTCTGGGACTAAGAGAAATGAAGATACATTGCCTTCCCAGAAAGCAGGGCTCCCAGTGGTAGAGCACTTACTTAGCACAGCTGAGGCCCTCAGCACCATATTAAAACAACAACAAACAAACAACTAAATAAAATAAAGATTAAATTCTTTTTTTTTTTTAATATTTATTTCTTAGTTTTAGGTGAACACAATATCTTTGTTTCAATGTGGTGCTGAGAATCGAACCCAGTGCCTCACACATGCTAGGCGAGCACGCTACCACTTGAGCCACATCCCCAGCCCCAAGATTAAATTCTTAAAAAAAAAAAAAAAGGACCATCTTTTCTTGGTGTCTTGCACCAACACAGGAAATGGAAATGTCTATATAAGTGAAAACAAGAGCTGCAGGGACTAGGAGGGCCTTTCTCTATGCAAGGGGAAAAAAATCTAAGCTATGGAGACAACTGTTTCACTTTAATAAATAACTGCATAGGCTGAGGGTATAACTCAGCAGTGGAGTGCTTGCCTAGCAACAATAAAAGAAAAGCTAGGCAAAAAAATCATCCCATTTCTCATCTATGAAGGGAGGAAAATAGCTACTTCATAGAAACAAGGATGTTAAATCTAATCTAGTTGTTAGGTGCTAATATTGCTTATAGTCAAAATTATGTTTGTCATAACTGGAGCAGGGAGAAAAAGGGAGTAGTTTAAGGGGTATAGTTTGAGTTTTGCAAAATCAAAGTTCTAGAGATCTGTTGCCCAACACTGAATATAACACCAGTGAACTTAAAAACATCTCAGATGGTAAATTTATTTATGTATTTATTTATTTATATTGGGGGGATTGAACCCAGGGGTGCTTTACCACTAAGCAACATCCCCATTCCTTTTTATTTTTTGAGACAGAATCTAACTAAGTTGTTTAGGGCCTAAGTTGCTGAGGCTGGCCTTGATCCTTCTGCCTCAACTCCCAAGTCACTGGACTTACAGGTGTGCACCACCAAGCCCAGCCAGATGGTAAATTTTATGTAATTTTAAAGCCACGATTTAAATTTTTAAAAATAATAAAAAAAAAATCAAAAACAAAATTTTTATAATAAATACATGTAGCTTTGGGTATACAATCCTGTGCAGTATTTTTTTTTTCCCACATTGAACAGTCCACTAATTCTTATGAGAACCATAAAGATAAGCTACAGACAGGAATACAGGCTGAGGCTCAATCCTTTCCACTGAAAAAAATTACAAAAAAGCACAAGAAAACCCATGAAGTTAAGGGAAAGGATCAATGGGTGAAAAACTCTTTATAGAGTATTCCTGTTTTCCTGACTTAGTATCAGTCTCCAGCTGGGTGTGGTGGTACACACCTGTGATCCCAGCAACTCAGGATAATCACAAGTTCCAGGCCAACCTGAGCAACTTAAGGACACCCTGTCTTAAACTAAAAGAAATGAAATGAATTAGAAAAGGGCAGGGGCTGTAGCTCAGGGTTCAATCCCTAGTGTGGCCAGGGGTAGGGAATCCAGTCTCTTTAGCCTTAATACTACCTGACAATCTTTAGTCTTAATACACATGAAATTGATTTGCCATTGGAAAAATTAAATAAAATAAATGGTGGAATCTCCAAAAGTAAGTTCATCCTTAAATTCATGAGAAGCCAAATACATGCCTGAGACTTATTGGTTTCTTTTCCAGACTCATTTACCTGGCTATATCCCCCTGAACATCTCTTGACTTTAGTTGACACACTTTTTGTCTTTCTTTTTTTTGGTTGTACTGGGGACTGAACCCAGGAACACTTTACCACTGAACTACATCCCCAGCTCTTTATATTTTTTTCATTTTAAGGTAGGGTCTCCCTCTTGTTGCTCCAGCTGGCCCCAAACTTGCGATACTCCTAACTCAGCCTCCTGGATTAATGGAATTACAGGTGGGCACCACCACACCTGGCTCACACACTTAAGTTTAGTCAATATTAGCCTGAAAATGTCTCAGTGGAGGACACAGTCCTAACTTTACAGAGACCTAGACCATCTCCTTTTCCCTCTCTGAACCTTGGTCTCTCCAGCTTTAAAATGAGGACATCCGAGGACTCTTTCCAACTCTGATAGTATAGGACCATGAATTAGAGGCCCATACCCACCATTTAGCACATAGGGCTTCCGCACAAGCTCCTTAGGCCTCTCCTCCACGTCAATGTCCATGCCCATGGCCTTCACCTGCAGAGAACAGAAGCTGTGAGACCAGCAGACAAGGAAGGTCCTTTGATCAAGGAAAGTTTGATCAGAATCAAAGAAAGATGCTGCCACCTGAACACAACTATATCATCCCTAAGAATCCCTGCCCAAGACTAAGCAGAACTAGATAACAAGAACCAGTGCCCTGAAGGTTTCTAGAACCAAAATCCAAAGTTCCCAAAGAATCACATAAAGGCCTATGTACATGACTGTTTATAAAATGAGTACAGTACTCCTTGCCTTCCTCATTTGGTTGTATGACAACTGAGCTGAAACAATGCAAGGGAAAGTACTTTATAATTTTAAACGGGAGGAGGAGCGTCTACCTGACAGTGCTTAGCTATAACTTCATAACTGTTCAAGAAGCAGAAGTGTCATTTTCCTCTGGCATGAAGAATTAAAGAGAAATTTGCCTAAAGACATGGGACAAATTCATTCAGCAAGCCCATTCCTTAGGTTATCAAGTGACATCCTAAGCACACCAGAGAAAAACACAAGAGATTCTGTTACCAAGGAAATTATGTTAGGAGGAAGATGCACAGACAATAAACAGAGAAGCAAATAAGTTAATAAGCATATACTATGATATCTTTACAAGTGCTATAAATTAAAGGGGGGAAGAGATGCTGGGTGAAGAAGGATGCTATTTTTGAAAGTTTGAAGGCATGGTCCAGAAAAAGACTTACAGAGGAGAAACTAGTCTTAGCGAAACCTTAGGCCAAGGATGACTAGGGAAAGGTGTAGGAAATAATAAATTAAAGTCTCAAACTCCAGGGCGTCCTTATTAGGAAAGTCAAGAACAGAAAAAGATAAATTCCGGAAACTAACCTTCGAGATGCCAAGGGACCCCAAAAGGTTAATTTCCAAGGAAAATATTGAGTGCAGGAAGAGAGAATAAACTCCAAATCAGGTCCAAACGTGTGCTGAGGAGATGTGTGAGAGGTGGTGAAGGGACCCTCGACAACAGTCAGTACAGGATGACCAAATGAACTGTGGGCAAGTGGAGAAAAGCGTGAGGGAGCATCAAATTCTGAATCCCAGCAAGGCAGAGGAAGAAGGAAGAAGGAAAAAAGAGATAAAAAACCTGAGGAAAGGGAGCAAGGAAAGGAGAGGAGGAAGGAAGGAGAAAAAGAAAAGGAGACAAGGCCCGGGATGCTGCCTTGTCAATACCTTTTTCTTACGGAGGGGAACCGCCTTGTTGGGATCCATGGCCAACCCCATCTCCGCCAGGTTCTGCCGCACGGATTTGGCGTGGTCCCAGGCATGTCGGATGTGGGAGCTACCGGCAAAAAGAGAGTTCGTGGTTCTATCACCTCGCGGGCGATCCTTGTCAATGTCCCCCTGTTCCCCAAACCCCGAGCCACTCACCACTCGATCCGTGGCGCTGCCTTCCGTCGAGCATTCCGATTCAGACGCTTTCGGTTGACATTATAGCCGAACTTCTGCCTCCGAGTTTTGCCCTTAGCCTTGGGCATTGCGCTGACCGCCTCACCAGCAGCTCACCCCTGAAGCCCCGCACTTACAACCTCGTGTTAACAGACTCCTTCCGGCGGAGGAGCGCCGGGCTTTTCAGGCTTTTTTGGGAAATGTAGTCTTTCCCTTGGCGCTTCCGCATCGATTACTACGACTCCCAGAATGCAATTGGTTCTTGCGCCTGCGTACTACACGAATATGTTCGTTTTCCCCGCCCCTTTCATGACCTCATCAGGAGGCGGAGTTCAACGTCCGGAGTATCTCCTTACCTCTGTTGCCCCAGACATGGCAACTCCCAGTCCTGTGACTCCCGAGACACCCTTTGAACCATCTAAGCCCCCAGTCATTGAGGGCTTCAGCCCCAGTATTTACAGCAATCCGGAAGGCTTCAAGGAAAAGTTTCTTCGCAAGACTCGAGAAAACCCAATGGTACCCATAGGTAAGTGAGTACTGTAGGAACTGTAAACGAAGAGGACAGTGATGTCGGGGGGAATGAAACTGGGGAGGACCGGGAACTCCAGGAGGCACCGAATGAGATCGAACCGGAGACGTGGGAGAAGGGGCGGGGCAGTGAGGGTAAAACTGGAACCAGAGCAGTGCATGTTTGGCGGGGCCGGGATGGGACGGACTCTTGGACTCTCGAGGAAGACCCCGCCTCGGCCAACCACTTCCTCTCTCCCTGCTGTTGTTTAGTGGTCTCGTCCTTGGGGAAGGGACCTCTGGTACCCTACTCGCTGCTCCCCTAGTTTTGTCCCCTCCCCAGGCTGCCTGGGCACGGCGGCCGCCCTCACCTATGGCCTCTACTGCTTCCATCGCGGCCATAGCCAGCGCTCACAGCTCATGATGCGAACCCGGATCGCCGCCCAGGGCTTCACGGTCGCAGCCATCTTGTTGGGTTTAGCTGCATCGGCTATGAAGTCTCGACCCTGATGCCACTGCCGGCTCGTGAAAGCTCCGCGGAAGATCATTCCAAACCGCAGGAGCAACCACCAGCCCTGCCAAAGAGACTCATTCCCTGTCTCCTCGACAGGCTTCAGGCCCCTGTGTTGTTTAGGGAGGAAGTGGCCGATTGTGTGATCGACAAGATTTTTTTTTCCAGAAATCCCAGATTCGGTGGTTTGGGTGTTGCCCTTCCTCCCTACTTAATAAACTCTAATCCACCAGTGGTATGGTGAATGCATTCTCAGCCTCACTCCCGTGGCCAAAACCATGGTTTGGGGTCTTTGGTTTTAGGAGGAATCAGACTGAATATTGGAGTGACCCTTAAAAAATCTTGGCGTCTGGTCTTTCCCAAACTTTCCTGGTTAACAGTCACCTGGGACACTTGTTAAAAGGGGAGATTTTATGGGCATAGTGGTGCGCGGCTCAGTTGACTGTGACAAGAGGATTTCAATTTCCAGGCCAGCCTGGGCAGTTAAAGGAAAGCTATATCAAATTTTTAAAAAGCTTGGAATGAGTGATGTTGAGTAGTACAGTGCTCCTGAGTTCAATTCCCAGCTGGGAGTGGGTGGAGTGTAGAACTTTCCAGGCACCTCTCCTTGAGATTCTAGCTTCTAGTTCAGTGGGCCTAGAGTGATGCTGTTTGGAAGAAGAAACAAATCTAGCCAACAGTTTTCAAACTTTAGTCTTCCGATGAGGCCTGCCATGGTCCTGTCAGATAGGAAGCTCTGCCCTCCACTCTGCATCTGCTCTACACCCCATTCCCACCTGAAAACCCCTGGGGCTTCACTGATCAGTACTCTCAGCTTTGGATAGGAAGCCTCAAACAAATATTCCTGATCTGTGGTCAGCTCTCAAGAGTTGACTATATCATCCCTAAGAATGATTTAGGGACCTACACTCTTCCCATATGTGACCATCTTTTCAGTACAATCTCTAAACTGATAGAAGAGGAAAGAAATTAAAAAGACACTTCACACCTTATTGAGCCCTGACACAGTCTGGATCTCTTGAGTGGAGGAGTGTACAATCAGTGCCAGGTAAATTTCTTGCCTTCACCATGGTCTTTGAGGCAGATCAAAAATCAGAGCCAATAGTGTATTGTAATGACTCTTGGCCTCAAGATGCAAGAAAAGGATTATTGAGTGGTGAGGACTATAGCACTTTAAAAAAAGAATGTCCACTATAAGTATTGGTATTATGGTGTTTCCCCACCACCACCCCCAAAAAAAGATAGTTGAGGGCTGGGGATATAGCTCAGTTAGTAGAGTGCTTGCCTCACATGCACAAAGCCCTGGGTTCAATCCCCAGCACCACACATACACACAAAAAGATAGTTGAAGTCCTAACTCATAGTTCATTAGAATGTGACCTTATTGGCAATAGGGACTTTATAGAGGTAATAGTTTAAATGAGGTCATTAGGGGTGGACGTTAATCCAAGATGATTGATATCCTTATAAAAAGGGAAACTTTGGACACAAAGACAGACACACATAGAGGACAGATGATGTGAAGATGTTCCTGTGATATTGGAGGCAAAACTGGAGCATGCATCTACAAGCCCAGGAATGCCTGAAGCCACCAGAAGCTAGGAGAGGCATGGCACCGATTCTTCCCTAGTATGTTCAGAGGGGGTGTCCCTGGTGACACTTGATTTTGGACTTCTCACTTCCAGAACTATGAGACAACAAATTTATTTTTTCTTTGGTGGTGCTGGGGATCGAACCCAGTGCATTATACATGCTTGGCCGGGTACACCCCCAACCTGGAGACAATTTCTGTTTTCTAACCTAGATTGTACTACTTTGTTACAGTGGCCCTAGGGAACTAACACTGTTGGCAAATACTCAATTTTTTTTTTAAAGCTGGGTATAGTGGCACAAGCCTGTGACTCAGGAGGATCCGAAGTTCAAGGCCAGCCTTAACAACTTTGCAAGACCCTTAGCAACTTAGGGAGACCCTGTCTCAAGAAATAAAAAGGCCTAGGGATATAGCTCAGTGACCACTCCTGTGGTCGCTGGTTGTTATACCTAATTCATAGGCAGGTACAGCTGGAGGAGGGGATAAATTAGGCAGAGCAATGGGCACTTCACATCCAGAAGGTCCCAGCCAACTCCAAGGAAAGGTGTCCAACAGAGGCTGCTTTTACCAGCCTCTTACCCAGGCTTGGAAAAAGCCACCACGGGATGTCGGTCTTCCCTGTTTCTTCCCACTGGAAGCCATATCCCCCTGGAAGCCTTAGTGTCTTTATCTACATGTGAAAACAGCAGAATCCTTCTTACTTCACAGGTTTGTGAAAGGATCAGAAAGGATCAAGGTTACAAACGCATTCTATGAGAGGTTGTCTTTCCTCTTAAGTATGGAGGCAACAGACAGGTTAGGGCTTCCACTTCTAGGTGGGAGCTCTTAGGCTTCCAAGGTGTTATGGTTTAGATTGGAAATGTTCCCCAAAGAGCTCAGGTATTGAAAGCATGGTCCCCAGCACAGCAAGGTTCAGAGGTAGGGTTTTTAGGTAATGTTTGGAATATGAAGGCTTTGACCTCACCAGTGAATTAATCCATTGACAACTAAATAGACTACTGGGGGGGTGGAATCTAGATGAAGGAAGTAGGTCACTGGGGGGCATTCTCCCCAGCTCCTTCTTTCCCTCCTTTTGCGTGATCCCTTTCTCTCCCCCTCCCCCCACCTCTCCTCCCACTTGGAGCCTGCTAAACCTATATAGACTGAACCTCTAAAACTGTGAGCCAAAATAAACCTTTCCTCCTTTAAGTTGTTCTTTTCAGGTATTCTTTACCTTCTTCCAAGGCCATGAAGCTGGAAAAGTTCTAAGCACAAACTGAACCCTGACACCAGTTGTGGCTTCCAGGGAAATGAGGATGATAATAAATAGGTGTAAAAAGAGTTAACAACACACCCTTTAAGCAAGAAAAAAAAAATACATCAAGAGGGACAGTCACAATTGAGTGGACTGAGGAGGAGCCATGAGGGGCTGGACCATAGGGCCAGGAGAGAGCAAGGGACCAAAGGGGTCAGGGTCCCCTTTCTCAGCCCCGGGAGATGGAGAGGAACGGAATAGGCTGTGTGTAGCAGCTGCCAGAGGAAGTTTCCACCCTGGCCAAAGCAGCTGCTGCTCCTCTGCCCTGGTGTGGCCCGTGCTTTGTGATCATGCTTATGACAGGCACCTAGCGGGACAGCGGCGTCTGCTTCAAGGACATGAGCACCGAACGAAGCCGGGACACATCTTTGCACTGCTTGCTGCTCTTGGGGTTGAAGTCACAGAGCTGGGCCACCTTCTCCCACTCTGTGCCTGGAGTCTCCTCCTTGGATTCCTTCACGAATGCCTCCTCAGATGCCCTGCAGATGAAGACGGGGCAGATGTTTTATAGTTGTCCACCTTCTGAAGCCCTGATCCCAGCCTACTTGGGGACAATTTATCTACAGATTCTCTCCCTAACCCTATACTCTGTGACCTCAACCCCCCAGGAACAGCTTTATCATAAGAGGAAACCTAAGGCTGAGGATGTAGCTCAGTGGTACAGCACACATTTAGCATGCATAAGGCCTTGAATTTAGTCCCTGTCACCAAAAAGAGAAAAGAAGTAAAATTTGGTCCTGCCTCGGGACCTTTGCACTTAATTTATCACCTCTTCCTGAAAGGTTCTTCCTCCACATCTGCTTATGGCTTGTTGCTTCATTTCATTGAGTTCCCAGCACAGGCCTCACCTCAGAAAGTTTCTTCCAGTCTAGGCATTCTGCGTTACCTCACCATCTGGATGGAGTTCCCAGCCTGGTGATCCCAACACCTCAAGGCCCTTGGAGAAACTAACACAGTACCTCAGCTATGCTCAACATTTCCAAAACTTTAACCTAGGGAAGACATTGACTACCCATCCACCTCACTGAAACGTGGCTCAGCATTGCTTTATGAGTGTTCTCCAGAAAAGGGTAGTGTGAATAGAAACCCTTTTCAGCCCGAAAGGATCATCAACTCTGTGGAGCCACACCCAGGGATTGGCATTCTTACTTTTGGTTGGAATCACATTAGGATGCAAACTGAACTGGTCCCTTCTTCAGAAGTTCTTGGTAGTTTAAAAAGCTGCTGATCAGGCTGGGGTGCAGTGGCACATGCCTGTAATCCCAGCAGCTTGGGAGGCTGAGACAGGAGGACTACAAATTCAAAGCCAGCCTCAGCAAAGCAAGGCGGTAAGCAACTCAGTGAGACCCTGTCTCTAAATAAAATACAAATAGGGTCGGGGATGTGGTTCAGTGGTTGAGTGCCCCTGAGTTCAAAAGAAAATCTGCTTATCAGGTCTAGAAGTATAGCTCAGTGGTAAAACACTTGCCTAAGTGAGAGAATGTGTGAGGTCCTGGGTTTGATCCCCAGCACCACAAAAAAAGAAAAAAATCAGCAGTAAGGGACAATAGAGAAACAAACAGTAAATATAGCTGAGGGATAAAATCTAAACATGAGTGTCATTAAAAAAAAAAAAAAAACAACAGTGGAGAGAGCTGGATCTGTGTCCTTTTTGGCCTGCAGGAATCCTTTCTGGAGAGCTTTTTTTTCCTTGAAACCCCCTCTGTATCTCTAGGCTCCTAGCTTCCACCCTGCTGATCTGGTTCCTGGCTGACAATCCAGTAAGATGGCTGGTGTGTGCTGTGTAGAGTCTGATGATGAGAGGAGCTATCCCAGGAGCTGCCCCCCTTCAGGATCAAGAGATTTCCTTCTGTGGCTGGGGTTGTGGCTCAGTGGTAGAGTGCTTGCTTTAGCATGTGTGAGGCACTGGGTTCTATTCTCAGTACCACATAAAAATAAATAAATAAAATAAAGGTATTGTGTCCATCTACTATTAAAATATGGGGGAAAGAAGAGATTCCTGTTCTCTGTGCTCAAAGTGTGGTTCATGGTCCAGGGGCATCAATGTCACCATGGAGATTATTAGAAATACGGAATCTTGAGCCTTATCTTGGTCTTCCTGAATCAGAATCTGCATTTTTCAAGATCCCCTAGTAATTCAAAGGCACATGCAAGTCTAAAAAGCCTTTTCTCTCTTTGGGATCCTCTTGCATGCTCTCTCGGCCATGTTTTTGGGCTGAACAGGAGCACCGAGTCCCTATGGAATTCCATAGCACCAGAGCCTATGGGACATCCTCTTCCCCTGCTGAAAACCTCTCATGGCTCCCTACTGCTTTCGGGATCAAGTCGAAGCTTCTTAGCCTAGCATAACAGGCGCTTTGCAATACCCAGCCGCAGCCCCCAATGACTGCAACAGAGCAGCCCCAGAAACACTGCAGCCACTGCAGGCAGCTAGGTAGTTCCTTTCTCTAGGCCTTTGCCCCAGCTAATTCTCACCTAGAATGCCCTGCCCTTCCCCTCCCCACCCAGTGAATTCCTTCTTGAACTTTCAGATCCAGCTGAAGGTCACAAATCTCTGAAGCCTGTCCTGGCTTTCCCAGCAGAGGGTGGCTCCCAGAGCTTCCTGTGTCCTTCCACACATGGCTCTTATCACAGCATTCTCCAGTCCATGAGCAACTTGGGAGGCAGACTATGTGTGACCTATTTCTATTTTTTAATATATAATTTTAGTTTTAGATGGATATAATACCTTTATTTATTTTTATGTGGTGCTGAGGCTCAAATCCAGTGCCTCATACATGTGAGGCAAGGGCTCTACCACGGAGCCACAACCCCAGCCCCCCTGTTTCTATTAGACCAGAAACTGGCATAGGGTAAGTATCAGTGAGCACAGGACAGATGGAAGAGGGGATAGAAGGAAGAAGGCAGGCTGCTGCCCTGCTGGAACCTGCGTTTTATGAGCGAAGGCTTAGCCCAGACAGCATCAGAGAAGGCCGTGGCACACCCAGAGCAAGGAGTGGCTCCAGCAGGAACAGCAAGTACTTGGCACACTCATATGTGTCAGACAACACTCAGTTGAATCACTGCATTTTTGTCCTTGGTTTCAGAATCCCCAACACCACCCTCCAACCCGTCACAACCAATCAACTTAGACTGGCATGAGAGGAAGCCTGTTTTCCATGTCTACATTAGTCACAATACTAGCTAGACACCAAGCCCAGAACCGCGTGATAGGGGACCCTGGTGGTGTGGGCGGGGCTCATGACCAAAGTCAGTGCATTGGGGGTAGAGGGCAGGAATGGGTATACACATAAAAGCATCTCTTATTCTTTTGCCTTCAGTACCTTGTGTTTGTTTTGTTCAACAAAAGACTCCTTCAACCACCCACCTACCCACCCCAAGAGGCATCTCAGAAGAAACCAGGGCTGCTTTGCCCTTTGCCCCTCCTACATGGCACATTCTTTTCTCTGCCCTCCCCTGTAGGGCTCTCTGATTTGGCAAAGCAACCTCCAGTTTGCTGGAGAGACTGAAGTGAGGGTTAGCTTCCTGCTCTGATCATCACCCTAAGCCCAACCACATTGATTTATATCCCACAAGCATAAGACTCCAGAAGTCTTGTGCCAGCCACACGCCCACCTGGGTCCCTCTCAAGATCCCTCCCAGCAGAGAAGCAAAGGAGACACGTACACATAGCCGATGATATCAGCATCTGGCTGCTGGTAGAATGCTTTGTCAGCGATCCTTGAGGGAAATGTTAGGAGAATATGTTAGGTGGAGAAGGCCAGACAGGCAGGTAGTGGGTTAAAGAGAAAGAGAGAGCATTAGTACCTCCCATGGGAAGTGTATTAGGAAGCGCAGTTTGAAGGCGCAGCATAGCCCCAGAGGGGATCCTCCACCCTGGCCACAGTGCTTTTTCTGAAGCTCAGCCTGATCATATTACTCTCCTGTTCAAAAACCTTCAGTGACTCCCCATTGCCCACATCTGTGCCCAAAGCCCTCCCAGTGGGACTCCCCCATCTGTCTACTTGCCGTCTTTTCCAACACTCCCTGACCCCCTGTGACCCAACATGCCTCATCTTTTCTTTCCTGCCAGGCTGTTCCCAGGTGTAGAATCCCCTTCCCTACACCCTGCCCTTTTATTCCTGATGAACTCTTAGTTGTCCTCCAGAGCCCAAGTCTCCAGACACAAGAATTCTTCCCCAACCTGTTCCTGGCTTCCCTTGTATGACTTTTGTGCAGAGGGCCTCACGGTATTCAAGTTCAGCTGTACCTGCATGGTTCTCTCCTCTGAGCTCTTTGAGGACATAGACCAGCTTCTAACCTGTTCTCTTGGCAACCTCCATGAGAAGGACATCGGGTGGCCAACAGCTTCAGCTGAAGTCTTTGACCTGACTCTCATTGGTCTGTTTTGGATCCTGTGTCTGTGCCAGGCCCTGTGACTGTAGCCAGGAGGAGGGATATGCTTATGCCATTCGCCATGGGTGAAAGTCCCATTCCTTGAGCTCTGCATGAGGGTCAGTCCCATACAAACCACAGGGGCTGCCGTTGGAACAGCCTGATCCCACAGAGGACAGTCAGGGCACCCTTCCTGCAGGAAGCTCCTCCTCATCTGGACCCTGGCATGCTACAGTTTTTTGAACACAAGGTGGCAGCTTCCTCGAATGTGTCTTTCCCTTCCTGGAAGGTCTTGTACCTTGAAGGGAACAACCTCAAAGGCAGTCTTCATGGACAGCAGCCAGTCTGAGACCATTTCCACACAGGTGTTCTTTGGTGGACAATTGCCATCTTTGCCTGTCTGTCCTCTGTGGGATCAGGCTATTCCAACAGCAGCCCCTGGGGTTTGTATGGGACTGACCCTAATGCAGAGCCCAAGGAATGGGACTTTCACCCATGCCGGACGGCATAAGCTTATCCCTCCTCTTGGCTACAGTCACAGGGCCTGGCACAGACACATGATCTAAAAGAGACCAATGGGAGTCAGGTCAAAGACCTCAGCTGAAGCTGTTAGCCACCTGATGTTCTTCTCATGGAGGTTGCCAAGAGAACAGGTTAGAACCTGGCCATCTTTGCCCACCACTGGAGGGCTGTGTGCCCAACATGGAGGAAAGCAGAGCTGAGCTACAGTAAAGATATGTACCCATTGACTTCATGGATGATATTGTGCCTACAGTCCTCCCACTGGCCTTTTCAGTATTACAGGCCACGAATTTCCTTTTATCCTTTAGTCATTCTAGGGAGCAGTGCTATAACAGAATCCTACACACAGGTTGGTTCTTCACTCTCAGCCAGGCCTGTGCACTCTGACCTAACCCTGGCTGTGGAGGGCCCAGGGCTAGCAGTTGGCAGCTTGGCCCCTGGACAGTCTGGCTCCAGGGCCCTTGGAGATCTGCTGACTGACAGACCTGTGTGCTCTCTGTCATGGAAAGGTGGGGAGGGCTTAATGGTGGACCAGCTCTGAAGGATTCTCAACTCCACAGGCAACCAAGGAAGCACCCTGGGCACATCACCCTCCTTCCTGCATGTTCTTGCCACCAAATCACCCATCTCAAGACTGTCTCTGACATCATATACAGCTCCCCCTCACTGTCCCCACAGCTTACCTCAATCCCCATGTTCATGTTTCCGTAGTTCCTCTCATGTCCCCACGGCTCGCCGCTGTCTCTTTGGCCCCCCTTGTGTCCGCATATCTCCCCTCATATGCCCATAGCTCCTCTTATATCCCAAGAGCTCCTCCATGTTCCTAGGCTCCTCTCACCTGTTATTGATCTTGTTCTTCTCAACTTGTTCACTCTGGCGCTGGTTCCACTCTTCCAGGTCCCTTTTGGCCTTCTCCCGCCACTCCTGTTCTGTCACCTTAGAGGCAGCATCTGTGAACCCAACAAGAGAACAAGTGGCATCTTTCCAGTGCCCTACGGCCCAGGCTGCTCCTCCCCTTGGCCCCTGGCAGGGCCCACCCTTACCCAGATCCCACATTAAAGCAGTGTGGGCCTCCACCAATCCCATGACTTCCCCGTCCCCCCCTACCATGTTCCAGCACCAAGGCTGCCAGAGCTCAGCTCCCAGTCAACCCTGCCTTTACCTAGCTCTTGCAGCCGTTTCTTCTGCTCCTCTCTCCATTTGCGTATGCTCTCAGGCTCCTGAGTCAGCCTGTCAACTTGGGCAATTGCAGCGTAGCCATCAGTGGGGCCATTAGCTTCCTACACATAAATACACCAGTCATGTACCCAGCCACATCTGCCCAATGTCTCTGCTGCCCCTCTGAGGAGCCTGAGTACCAAGGACACAGACCTCTCACATCAGGACACCTCAATAGTTTCAAACAACTGCATACTGTCTCCTGTGACTATTCCCTGCCTTTGCACTTGCTCGCTCCTTTGCCAGCAACTGTACTTCCCCTGTGTGACCTTAGGCAGGTTAGTCAGCCTCTCTGTGCCTGGCCTTTGTCCCAAGCCCAGCAGCACTAATTTATACCCAACCTTCTTCATCATAAAATGGGCTTGGGGCTGGGGTTATGGCTCAGTGGTACAGCATGCGCCTTGCACGTGTGAGGCCCTGGGTTCGATCCTCAGCACCACGTGAAAATAAATAAAGGTATTGTGTCCATCTAAAACTAAAAAAATATTTTTTAAAAAAATGGGCTAAATAATAATGCCCACCCATAGGGTTGATAGAAAACTGAATTTAAAAATGTAAATAACTTGGCACACAGTGAATCCCTCTTGTTACTATCATAAAAGTTGCTTTCTATTATACTTGTATTGACTGATAATTATTTAATTGAAAATCAGCTCACTTTTTAATGTGTTTATTTGTCCATCAGAATGTCATTTTTGTGTCAGCAAGGACCTGGTCTGCCTTGCCCATTGCTGTGTACCCAGAGCCAGCACAGTGACTGGCACACAGCAGACGCTTGATAGATTATTTTTTGGGGCAGAGGGAACCAAGGACTGAGCCCAGGAGCATTTAACCACTGAGCCCTTTTTTATTTTGAGACAGAGTGTAAGTTGCTTAGGGCCTTGCCAAGTTGCTGAGGCTGTCTTTGAACTTGCAATCCTCTTGCCTCAGCCTGCCAAGTGCTAGGATTACAGACAGGCATGTGCCACCATGCTCGGTTTACATATTTGTTGATGAACCAGCAGCCCTCAGAACAGGACAGCCATGGACAAGCCTATGAAGTGGTGAAGAACTTGGACTCTGCAGCCAGACTGTCTGGGTTTGGATCCCATCACTGATGTGACAGGTATGTGTATGACCCGGGCAAATTGCTGAACCTTTCCCAACCTTTTTTCTCTTCTGAACACGGGAATGATGGCAAAAACAACCTCTCAGAGTTGCTGTTGTGATTTGATGCAACAGTACTTGTAAGACGTTTGGAAGAGTGCCTGGTGAAGAGTGACGGCTCAATGAATGGCAGTTGGAACTATTACTGTTATTACTTCTCATTTTATAGGAGAGGAAATAGGCCTGGAAGGTGGAACGATGTAGTAGCTAGAGTTTCAAGTCCTGGCTTTGTTCACTTCTCCCAGCCTGCTACCCGATCTAGGGACAGAGTGGCTAGAGCTGGGGACAGAAACCTTAGGGTTTGTGAGCTCAGCAGGAAGGGGGGCACCCTCTGATCTGGCAAAGCCAGAGCCCCTCCCCTTTTTGATTGAACTGAGCACGCCCCCCCTCTGGCGAGCTGTGTGCTCCACATTCCTGTCTGCAGGCATCCCCAACACTGCCTGCAACTTTGCTGCCACGCCTGTCTCCTGACACTTCAGCCTGCAGTCATCTCCCTTTCTTCTCTAGCTGGTGAAATCTTACTCCATCCCTTGAGTTTCCCTGCTCAGGAGTTACTTGCTCTGGGATATTTCCCAGTGCCCCCAAACGCATCCCCACTCTCTGCACACAGGTCACAGCCTCCTCCACTAGACCAGGAGCTCCTGGTGCGCAGGACAGGGCCTTGTTTATAGCCCCAGAACCGTTGTTTTATCACTTGATTACTCACTGACCTCCACCAAGCATCTGTACAAACTGTTATGATTGCTTAAACTATTTCCCATGGGTCAGTGTCTGGTGTGCCCTGTCCTGTGGTGCCCACCAATGCCCTCAGCACATAGTAGGTGTTCAGTAAACAGTGACTGGATGGATAAAGACCCACACGAATCTGCAAGTGCAGTATTGGGAGAAGGAGCTTGGTAAGTGGTTTTGCTCAAGGGGTATGGGTAGCCAGAGGGAAGCAGCAGGCAGATGGAACAGCTGGGCTGTCTCCAGTGGTCTGGGGAGCGAGGAAAGGGCGGGGCCCAGGGCAGGCTGCCAGGATTTAGGCCCTGCCCCTAGTTGGGGCAGCTGGGGTGGGCCCTTACTCCTCTCTCCTGCACAGCACTAGCTTCAATTCAGATTCTCTCCCAACATTCCAAGGGACCTTCAAAGGCCACAGAGATTCCTAGGTTGATCACTGTTGGCTATTCTGCCCTCCTTTGAGAATAGGCCTGCCTTGAAGCCCCCACTCCTGCCCTACTGAACTTTTCATCGGCAGACAGCTACACTGCTTCTTTATTTTGTTTTATTTTTTGCTTTTGTTACAGGGGATTGGGTAAAGGGCACTTTACCACCACTGAGCTACAGCCTCAGTCTTTTTTGTTTATTTGTTTAGTTTTTGGTACATGGGATTGAACATAGGGGCTCTTATCCCCAACTCTTGTTATTTTTTATTTTGAGACAGGCTCTGGCTATATCGATTAGGGCCTCACTAAGTTACTGAGGCTGGCCTCAAACTTGCAGTCCTCCTGCCTCAATCTCCTGAGTTGCTGGGATTACAGGTATATGCCATCATGCCAGGTCCCAGTCCTTTTTATTTTTCGTTTTGAAGCAGGGCCTCACCAAGTTTCTAAGGCTGGCCTCTAACTTGTGATCCTCTGGCCTCAGTCTCTCAAGTCACTGGAATTATGGTGATCTACAATGGATCTCTCTGATCCATTGCCTTCTCTCACCTCAAGAAAAGGCATCACTGTCCCCCCTGTTGCTGAGATCATAACCTATGTTTGCCCTTGATTTTTCCTGCCTTCCCACATCTAATCCATAAGCAAGTCCTGTTGCCACAATCTCTAAATTATGCCACAAATCAGATTATGAAAAAAAAATCTTAGACTCTTCACTTTTGCAATAAATGTCCAATGGGTGACTAAAAGAAGGATTAAAGACTTGGCATCTCTGTCTCCATATTGCACCTGTTTCCTTTGCTCTGAGTGACTTTATATTCCAGGAGCAAAAGGTCTGATTGATAAATGTCTTGTGAAGAATCAAAGCTGCCCATAACCACGGGCCACAGCAATGTTCTTATCACCCACAAGGTCCACCCGACCAAGCCTGAGATCCAGATGGATCATACCATACCTGCTTTGGCTGCTGTGAAAAGCCTCCAGCTATGAAAAACCCCAATCCTTGCCCACATCCCCCTTAGTATAAAGTTTCAAAGTCATTGTCAGCTCCTTGAAGAAAGGGCTAAGAATGTGGATCCCCTTGTCTTTCCAGGGTAGCTACACCAATTAAAGTTCTTTACATGGCCAGGTGTGGTGGTGCATGCTTATAATCCCAGAGGCTTGGGAGGCTGAGGCAGGAGGATTGAAAGCTCAAAGTCATCCTCAGCAATGGCAAGGCACTAAGCAACTCAATGAGAACCTGTCTCTAAATAAAATACAAAATAGATCTGGGGATGTGGCTCAGTGGTAGAGTTCAATCCCTGGTACCCCCCCCAAAAAAAATTATTTTCATGCTTTTCACCATTACTTTTCTGTTTGGCTTTGGGGGTGAGTGGTGGACCTGATTGGTTGATCCCTAAAATCAGAACTCTGGCCTAGAACTCCAGTAACAGGATCACTTCCTACCTTCTCTCCCTCCAGCCCCTGCCACTTTTGACCTGGACCCCAGCTGGTCTCCCTTCTTCACCCACCAAAATGATCCACACACAGCCTAAATCTGATTATATCATGCCCAGCTTAAAAACTTCTGAAGGCTTTCCACTGCAATTAGAATAAAATCCAAGTCATCTGGTCTACCCCTGCTCCCCTGATTTTTGTCCTTGATCAGCACACACTTGCCACACTGCCTCTTGAACAATGTTGTGTTTTATTGGCCTCCCACTCACCATAACCACTTCTTTAAGCAGTTGCTGTGTAATCCACCCTCCCTCTGCATCTTCACATCCTTGAATTCAAGTAAACACTGATCCTGTACTATGCAGCTAGGCCTACAATAGTTGCCTCTATACTCAACATATACAGAGTTTTCTTTCTTGGCATTATTCCCTCAACAGTACAGCACAGGGGCTGGGGATATAGCTCAGTGGTAGAGTGCTTGCCTGGCATGCATAAAGCCCTGGGTTCAATTCCCAGCACCACACACACACACACACACACACACACACAGCATAACAACTGTTTACACAGCATTTACCTTGTATTAGTTATTATGAGTCATCTACATCTAAAGTGATAAAGGAGGATACATGTAGGTTATATGCAAATGTGTCACCTTTTTATAAAACTTGAGCATCCCTGGATTTTGGCATCCTGGAATCAATCCCCCTAGATTCCAAGGGACAACCATATTGTATTTTCTTCATAGCACTTATTGATATCTGAAATGAGTTGTTTACTATCTGTCTGTATCCACCCCCCAAATAAGTAAACTCCATGAAGACAGAGACTGTCTGTCTCTATGGAATCCATAACAGGAGGGCCTGGCTGTAGGAGGATGTTAAGAATATTTATTTATTCTCCACTGAGTCTGGAGATGTGGCTCAGTGGGTAGGGCCTAGCATGTGCAAGGTCCTGTTTTGATCCCCAGCATGATCAAACAAAAAGAATACTTAATGAATTCATAGATGTTCAGCTTTGGGGACAGGGATGAAATAAGATAGCCCATCATCTTGGAATTTGGGAGGGGAGTCCTTCACAGATAAGGACCATGGCTGGGGAATGTGATGTAACACAGGCCATGTAAAGAATGGGGACAGGGCTGGGGATATGGCTCAAGAGGTGGCGCGCTCGCCTGGCATGCGTGCGACCCGGGTTCGATCCTCAGCACCACATACAAAGATGTTGTGTCTGCCGAGAACTAAAAAATAAATATTGAAAATAAATTCTCTCTCTCTCTCTCTCTCTCTCTCTCTCTCTCTCTCTCTCTCTCCCTCCCTCCTTAAAAAAAAAAAAAAAAA